TTAGAAAAAAATTTTAAAGCTTATTTTATTTTTTTATTTTTTTGTTTATTAATGTTAATCCTAATTATATAGATGCAAATTCTACTAGAATATTTGTTGTTTTATTAAAAAATGTATTAATTAATTCTCTAGCTATTATGGCTAAATGTGGAATCCAAAGTTATTTGATTGGCATTACAGCATTAAAAAATTAAACAAGTGATAAATAAGGCTGAAAAAAATTCTAAGTCCTAGAATATTTAATAAAAATTAAAAGTTGAGAAATATAATACAGAAAATAAATATTTTATTCCACTTTAAGTTATAAATTTCATTTGGTATTTTTTATGTTTATGATCATATTATCATTAATATTTTTACTTCTATATAGAATTTTTAATTTTAAATCAAGTACTATATATTATAATTTATTCTATTTTTAATATTATTTAAAAACAAGTTTAACATATTAAAATTATAATTTAAAATAAAAAAAATAAGATCACTAAGAATTATCCAAGTCAAGTAAAAATATGATTCTGATCTACAGGATTTTATTAAATTAGGATTTATATCATAAAAATAATAACTTAACTCAAATTAATTCTTAAAATTAGATTAAATGATCTAAGTCAATTCAATTAGTTTAAAGTATTAATTTTTTTATTAGATAAAAAAATAAATTAAACAATTTAATTACAGTAAATTATAATAAGCTATTTTAATTATTAAAAATGTCTTAATAGATAAGATTTCACAAAATGCTAAAAATTAGATACATTATTTTTTTTTTTAAAAGAATTTTAATAAGTTTATAATTTTAAAAAAGTATTAGAAATTGTAAAAATAAAACTATTAGTAATATTGTATTAATATATGATATATTTGATATTATAATATTTAAAAAGATATTAGGATTAAATTATAATAAATATTTTTATTGATTTTAATTACTTTAGCTGATTTAGAAAAAAAAAAAAGTACTGATATTTGACTCTTCTTATAATTAAATACTAGAAAAATTTCATAAAATTTTTAATATAAATAAAGTTTCTTAAATTAAATCATATTAAAAATAATATATATTTTTTATTATATAAAAAATTAAAAGTTTATTTTTATATAAGCTCAATTAATTATTAGTTTTAATTTAAATTTCTTTTATTTATCAATAATAAGAAAATTAATTATATATTAGAATTTTTAAAAAATATTCTATAAATAAATTATTAATAATATAAATTATTATTTTTAAATTTTATCTTTAAGAATCTTTAATATAAAAAATAAATTACTTTCTTAATAAATTTTTATAAAAGTTATATTTAGAGAAGATTTAATTTTTAAAAATATCTTCAATTTTTTTATTAATTTGCTTTTTTATTAAAATATTCTTTTTAGATAATCTATAATATAATTTATATAACTTTATAATAGTTAAAAAATTTTTTTATGCTTTTTTATCTAAGAAAATTTTATAACTAATCTTTTAATATATTCTTATTTAAAGATATTATTATAATATTATAATTAAAGTTACTTGTCTAAACTCATTTTAGATTTAGCAAAATGTTTAAATTATAGTTTTACTAAATTTTACTAAATTTTAGATATAGTTTTATATTTTTATAAGCTTTGATATAGTTTTATCTTTTTTAGAATTTCACAGATTTTTTAATAAGGTTTTAATATAATTTTGCTAAATTTTAGCAAAATCTCTAGATTTTGTCTAGCAAACTTAATTATAATGCTTATTTATTACCTATTATAACTTAATTTTTATAATTAGTTATAATTATTTATCATCTATTATAACTAATTCTTTACATTTGCTTATTATTTATAATATACTTTAAAATAGTTTTAGAAACTATTATTAAATCTAGAGTATAAGTGTAATGAAAGAAACTAATTATATATTAACTTAAATTTTGAACAAATAGATAATAAAATATCTTGTATAATATATGGATAGTATAAGAAAGTTTTTTACTTTGCTTCAGACTAATAATTTTTTATGTATCTTTATATTCTTTTATAAACTTGTTGTCTCTAAAATATTTAAAAAAAAAAAATAACTTTTTTATTATATTAATAAAGATTAATTTATTTACTTTATAACTATTAATATTATTAATTATTTGAATATTATTAAATTTTTATATATAATATAAAATAAATATTATTATTATTATAAAATTAAAAAATCTATCTTTATATATATATATATATAATTATTATTATGAATAATATAATTTATATAAGAGAAAACTTTATATAATCTAATATATTAATAGATTATATATTTAAATTTTAGAATTTTTAAACTTATAACCTTAAATTTTATTAGATTTTTATATCTTTAAAAAATTAAGATAAAATATTAAATTGAAAATTTAGTATTTTTATAATAAAAATATATTTTTAAAATTTTTAAAAAAGATTTTTTTTATATTTTTATTAAATTTATAATTATTTTAAAAAGTTGAGACAAATATTAGATCAAAATTTAGTATTTTTATAATAAAAATGTATTTTAAGATCTTAAAATATAAAATTTTTTATTTATATAAGACTTTTATATATCTTTAAGATAAAAATAAAATATTAAATTAACATATACTTTAGTATAAATTAATAAATTATTAATTAAATTATATTTTGATAAATGGGTTAATTGTTAGGAAAATCAGATTCTGGAAATTTTTTAGCAAAATTGAGATTTTTATTGCATTTTAGTTTTTGATGTCATTAGATTAAAATGTATTAAGCTCTTAATTTTAGTCAAAAATTTCTCGAAACTTGATTTTTCTAGAAACACTCCTAAATATAATTATTTTATTAATAATTATAATAATGTCAAATTAATATAATTAATTTTGATATCATCAAAACTAATTAGTATTAAAATATCAATCAGTAATTTAATATCTTTATATAAAATTATTTTAGTAAAAAATGATAATATATTTATAAATTAAATTTTATAATTTTATAATAATTACTTATTTATCAATCTAATTTATAAAAAATATTTTTTTATTTATAGATTATTAAAAATTAATTTTTATTTATTATTAAATTTATGTATTATATAAATATTATAATTTAAATAAAATAAATATATTAAAGAACCTTAATTAACTACCTATTAACTTTTATTTTAATTATGAAAATTAACTGATAAAATTTAATTATTTAATTTTCTTAAAATCATATTTAATATTATATTTTTCTGTTAAATTAAAAAGCTAGTGATATAATAATATAACTAAAATAATTATATTGATCATAATTATTATTAATAAAATATATTATTATATTATTATATTACATTAGTTATAATTTAAAAAATTTATATTATATTAAAATAATTAATATATTATTATTTTTTATTATTCCTTAAAGTATAAATATAAAATTAATTAAAATAAAAATTATTAAATTAGTTATATTAAAATATATCTAATAATAGTATTTTTAAATATTTAAAATTAGTAATTATTATATATATCAAAATTTAATTTGTTAGATTCATTTCATTAAAACTTATTAAATAATTATATTTTTTACATTTTCAAGATTAATAAATAGCAAAATATATAAGTTTAAAATTTTAATCTTTTTTATAATAATTTATTATATATTTATCTTTAAAATATCATAAATTTTTACTTAAAAAATATCATAATATTTAATTATAAAAATATTAATTTTAAAAAAAATATTTAAAATTATTATAAATAATTTTAATTGTTAAATAAAATTATAAGTAAATTTGTTTATAAAATACTAAAAAGATAATAGTTTGTATATTAAGAATATGTTTTAGAATTTCATAATATATTATTCTAATTTAATTAAACTTTTTATTTTTAGAGATTAAATTAAAATATTAAACTAAAAATTTATTAAAAATATATTTTAAAGTCTTAAAATATATTGTTTTGAATTATTTTAAAATTTATTAAATTAGAGTCTATAATAAATAAATATCATTTGATCATATTTTCTTTAAAATATATAATACTATCATCTTTTGATATAGCAAACTCTTGATATAACAAATTTTTGAATAAATATAATAAAAATACTCTTATTATAGTGAATTGACCAATTAAATCTCTTAAAATCTTTATATAGCCTTATAGCAAAGTTAAAGTTAAAACATAGAATTCGTTATAATAAAAGTTAACTGTATATATAAGATTATTTATTCAAACTTATTTTGAATTTAACAAAATATTTAAATTTTAGTTTTACTAATTTTTTATTAAGATTTAAATATAGTTTTACATTTTTATAAGTTTTAATATAATTTTACTTTTTTCTGAGCTTAACAGATTTTTTAAATATAATTTTACTAAACTTTACATTTACTATTTAGATAACTTGTAAAATTTTAGGTTTTATTTAATAATTTTAATAATAAAATAATAATATATATTATATTTTTTTAGTTATACACTTAAATATAAAATTAATTATTTAGAATTATGAATAATTTAATACATTAATATAATTAGATATAATTATATATTTTATTAATAATAATTATAACTAGTTTTATTAGTTTTAATAATAACATAATATTTTATCATTAGTCTTTTAATTTTACAAAATAGTAAAATATATATATTAGTTAAAACTTTGAATCAGATTAAATCAATCTATTATCTAATCTCATATGATCTAAAATTTAGGTCAGATCAGTAGATTTTTAGATTAATATTAGATCAGATAACCTATTACTTGATTGATCTAACCTATTATATCATTAGATTTTATTATCTGATTTGACTTGAAAAATTCAGGTTAGATCAGTAAAATTATTTTAATTAAATGATAATAAATCATTTTTATTAAATGATAATGTATCATTTAATTATTTAATTAGAATAATAATAATTATTTCTCTTAATAATAATATTTTGTTCAAATATAATAATGATAAATCATTCAAAAGAATGATAATATATTATTGAAGATGAATAATAATAAATCTTTCTTATTGAACAATAATGCATCATTTTAGTTAAATGAATAATATATCAAATTGTTATAAAAAATGATATATTATCATTCTTTATTCAACTAAAATGATATATTACAAATTAAAAAAAATATATAATATTATTTATTTATATTATATATATAAATATTTTGAATATAATATATGGAATAAGATAAAAAATTAAATTTTAAGTTATACACTCAATACTCTAAACGCTTTTTGCCAAAAAATTATAAAGTTTAACGCGTGTGATATGAACACATTCGCGTAACACCTTTTGTGTAACGTCAACCATAATTGCTAAATACGTTTAGCCCAAAGATTTTTTTTTATTTTTTAAACAAATAAACGAAAATGAAAATCAAAGATACAACTGAATATACGGAAGTTGCAATTAAAGCCATCGATGATAAATCTTCCGAGTTGAGGTCTATTAGTTTAAAGGTACCTTTGATCGTTAAAACGTTTTTTCAAAATAATTTATTCAACAATTATTCTATTTATTTATAACAGATTCATGAAAATCCAGAATTAGGTAATTTTATTCATTTAAATTTAACGTGAAATTTGAAAGTAAATACTAATAATTTGCTCAAATTGTTTTAGCTTATAAAGAGAAATTTGCTCATGGTTTGTTGGTAAAATATCTACAAGATCAAGGTAAGAATCCATCAAACATTTTAATGGCAATTTTCTCATACAATTCGATTATATATATAATTGGATATCTAATTAAGGATTTAACGTAACTCCTTCTGCATACGGTCTCGAGACGGCGTTTGTTGCAGAATTTCAATCCAAAGCTGGTCGAGGTAGAGTTGTTTCATTTAATTCCGAGTAAGTAAATAATAGGTAAATTAATTGTTTTGTCATTCACGGAACAATTCATAACTTTTCTTTGCAATAGGTATGATGCTCTTCCTAAAATCGGTCACGCTTGTGGTCACAGTAAGTTTTTCTCAAGTGTAATCAGAAATAATAGAAATAATGATTCTTGGATTTTAATTAATTTGTTTTAATCAGATCTGATTGCAATTAGCGGAGTTGCTGCTGCAATTGCATTAAAAGCTGTATTTGAAAAGCATCAGATTCCTGGAACAGTGAAATTATTTGGTACTCCGGCCGAAGGTTAATATCCTCCAATTATCAAATTTTTGGTTTATAATTGTTCATTAACATTCATATTTTTTTTTTTTTTTTAGAAAAAGGAAATGGCAAAATTGATTTAGTGAACGCGGGTGCTTACAATGATGTTGATATTTCTTTAATGGTTCATCCAGGGTAAAATCATTAAATTATTTTTTTCTTTTAACAAATTATCTATCTTATCTTCTTATTTTCTTTATTAGTCCAATTGATGGATGTTTCATAAAGTTTCTAGCACTTCAGTCTTGTGAAGTTAAATATTTTGGAAGAACTGCACATGCCGCTGGAGCGCCATGGGAAGGAATAAATGCGCTAGATGCCGCAATTTTGGCTTATAATAATATTGGGCTATTACGACAACAAATTTTACCCACAAATAGGTATTTCCTAAGTTATTATTAATTATCTTTATTTATTGATTTGTAAAATGCAAGCCTTTTTTTTTTCTTTTAAAAAAAGAATTCATGGAATTATAACTAATGGTGGTGAAGCGCCAAACAGTTGAGTATTTTAATATTAATGATTTGTTTTACATCATATTAATTATATAAAGTAATAAATGTTCTTAAATATAAATCAGTTATTCCTGATTATACTTCATCGGAATATTTTATTCGTGGAAGGACTATTAAGGATTTGACCGATCTGAGACCACGCGTTCAGAAATGTTTTGTAGCAGCCGCCGTAGCTGCTGGATGCACAAAGGAAAATGGAGCCAAAGATCCTAGCATCTCCTGGAATAAGGAAATCTTTGGTTAGTTGGTCAAACTTTTTTTTTATCGGTATTAATTCTTTAACAAGCTTAAAATAAATGATTTGTAATATTATTCCCTTTAAGATGTGAAAATAAATGTTCCTTTGGGTAACAGATATGAGGAGCACCTTAGGAAATTTGGAGTCACCTTTCCGACAAAGGAAGAGCAAGACGTTTTACCTGCAGGTTCAACAGATCAAGGACGCGTTACTTATTTGGTTCCTGGTATCCATGCGATGTATGATATCAAACCTCCCAAAGGGAGTGCAAATCATACGCCTGGTTTCACAGGTGCTGCTAAAACCAAATTTGCGCACGAAGCCACGCTAACTGCCTCAAAGGGAATCGCGTTAACTGGTATAGATTATTTGGTCGATGATGGTTTTGCTAGACTAGTTAAGTCGGCCTTTGATGGTAAACTTTCTTGAAAAATATTTTTTAAGTTACAATAATAATATACTAATAAATCTTGTAAAAATATTTATAAACAAATAAATTAAATAAAGTTATAAAATTAATGACATGGCAGATCCTTGAAAATTTATTAACATTCTTTTGTAATCACATATATACAAATCGACCAATCGATAAAACGAAAAGTTGTTTATACCTCTAAAAGTTGATTTGATTTTGGGAATTACTTACCATTGTCAAGATCTTTGATGGGATCCTGATATTGATAATGGTAGGTTCAATATCACGTGTCACGGCAATTGCGAATCCAAATAATAGTTAACGATAATAGTTGCAACTCTGGATCAATCCAAAACCTCTCATTTTCTCGCCTGGATACATGCCGAATAAGTAATATGAAAAAAATTACTCTAATAACATTCATCCTCTTTGAACTGAGACTTATCAAATCCAGCCGCGTTAACTTTACAACTTTATGTGCGTCTTTATAACAGACAATAAGAAATTTCGACATAACATTTCAAATTCTTTTTTCCCTTATTTTTTCCTAGTTTGATGTCTTCTTAACTTCAATGGCATATTAAATTAAAATAAAACGGCAAATTTTCTTATAGGTATGTAAGTGCGTTGAAACACAAATCTTCTTGATAGTTTAGAACGTACTGATGCTCTTAAACATCATAATGGTGATTTCAGCGATAATGATCATTATAAGGAATAAATAAATAATTATCATATATTTGTTGAATTTAAATACTCATTTTTAAAGCAATTTTGGCATTCACACGATGGTATATGGTATGTGGAAATGTTTTCAGCAACCAATATTATAACACATGCATGCATGGTAGTTTTGTTTAAATTGTATGTTAGCCCTCCTCCCAGATCTCTAGTAAATTGTGAATCAAAGAAACCAAGGGAATAAGAAAATTTAATGCAAAGATTATCCTATAGAATTTATATATAGAATATAGTTAACATTTGCATTCCCGTTTCAAAATAAATGATTCGTAAAATATTTTGTAAACAGTTTCAAATCTCCTTGATTACAGCGTTCATTTTAATGCGAAAGCTTAGTAAAAAGTGAACAGCGTGAGTAAATTAGAAAAATCGCCGAGTAATTTTGTCAATAGATCAAATCAATGTGCATACAAATTACGATATTTTTGAAGGATTGTGTCTTTTTGAATTTACAATAAAAGGTTATATAATCAAAAATAAAAAATTCTTACAACACTTTTTATCGTAATATTTGTTAATTTTTGGTTAGATCAGAAAACTTTGCATTTTAGCTTTTTGAAAAATGCATTTATAAAGTCTTCATCTTTTTTTTTATGTGAGAGATTTGATGATTAAGGAAATGATTTAATTCATATCGCAAAATTTATCTTCATACCATACCTTATTGTGAAGCATTAACTTCTCTTCAAATAAGGAAAATTCTAATTTTATCATCACTCAATAACGATAGTAACATTCGCAGTGAAAAATTTGTAAAAGGACATGGACTTTTTCGTTTATTATGTGGAATGGGTCTTGCGTTATTACAATCGAAGTTATTTGTATTTGTATTCTATACGATGAAGAACAAACGCAAGTTTATCGATCGCCTATAAATTACCTTTTTACATGGCAATTTTGGGCATGTTATAAATTATTTCTTTATTTCAAAGATTTTTTATTTATATTTTCCAGTCAACAATTTGGTAAGAATTCGTTTTTTTTTTTTATTAAATTAAAAATGAGTAGTTGTATCCAACATAACTGGCAGTGCTCCTTGTTTGCTGGCTGCTTCTTTTTCGTGTCAATTATGGTTGGAATATCTTCTGCCATGAGCTGGCTCATAGGTATGTAAAGATGAATCTATCCATAATGTAATCTTTAACACGTCCTTCCTTTTCCTTTTATTTTTTTTTTAAAAAAAAAAAAAGTTTGTATTCGCAATTGTTTAACAACAATACAACCGATCGACACCCACCATCAACATTTGTATTCTTTCATCCATACTAACGGACCGTTCTTGAAGGCATCAAAGAAAGTACTGGGGATGTTTATTGTACAATGGGTAAGTGATTAGTATTGTGATTTAAACTCATGCAATAAAAAAAAAGATATTGATCATTACGTTGTTAGACTCCATTGATGGTTTACGTAATTGCCGATATCTCGATGTAGGTAACGTAACCTTTTTTTTTTTTTCAAACAAAAAAAAATGAAAATAAAAAAATGAAAAAATAAAAATGAAAAAAAAATTGAACAAAAAATGAAAAATATGAAAATAAATGAATCAAACGAACTTTATTATATTTAGTATGAACGACTTTGGTTATATTTCTTGGCCAGTTTCTTTTATCGCAGTGGGGTATATTGAATATTGGGAACAATAGATTATAAATAAATGAAGATTGGCCGTTAACGAATCGAGATTCATGTAATGCTCCTAACTTGATTAAGAGCACCAACATTGAAGGAAGAAATAGAAATTGGAATTACATCTTAAAATCAATATTGGAAGATGATGAAGTGAGCTTATAGGAGATTACCTAATCAAGCAAATAGTTATTAATAGAAAATTTTTTTCGTTTGAAAAACGAACATTTTTAAAAATTAACACGTGAAAAAAATGATGGTTATTGGACGAGATTAACAAGTCAATTGATCCGGGTACCTCCACCGTTATCGTTTGAACAGATACCGATTAGGATGCCCCTTCATCGAAACACACCAGGGATGTGTCTAGCGTCACGTACACAGCAAACGTAAAGTAAAAACGTCTTTAACCCAAAATTTAGCGGAAATTTAGCGGAGCAAAATGACATCTTGTAACCCTCCGGTCTCAGCATATGAAAGGTATATAAGGTTTATACTGATTGAAAGAGAATTAAGGAACTTCAAACGAGAAACTTGGGCGAAAATATAGATTGTCAAACGAGAAGTCGATTAATTGCGTAAATGCATACGGTATGTTATATATAGTTTTAAGAATTCTTCATTCATAATAATAGCGAGGGAATGTTCGCTTTTGACAAAGTCTGTGCATCAGCCATTTTCCCATATTAAGTATTTAAGTCAAAGAATATTCAGGTTTTAAAGATGAAACTGACAAAATCAAAAATTATTTCTCACACAACAGGTCATGAGTTGAAAATCTTTCCCTGATTGATTCGGATATTTCCTTATTTTAAAAAAAAATATTGGCGTTTCTAAAAGAAAATATACGAATACCGATTTATTTTTAATTTAAACTAACAGTTATTTAAACATATACTTACTTCAATTTTCAAATGATTAAAATTATCCTTGAATTTTTTTGCCATTTGAAAAAAAAAAATTAAATATATTACAAGAATTTTTTTTTTTATATACTATAAACATTACACATTCCTTAATAATACTTTGATAAATTATACAAACAAATAACCACGGACCAAAATGTGGAGAATTTTTCGTAACGTAATATTGTTTTATTTTAACAATGTATAATGTTCTATTTGAATTGATGACTAATGAATTGGTCACATGGTTTTTACACTGTCAATATAGTTAAATGGGATTCATATTCGGAAGTGGAGACGCCAACTTGTTACATTTGAAAATTGGATCAAAAGAAATTCAAGCGAAGGTTATATTAAATATTTATATATCATTACACAATTTCCCAAATTAAATTTGCACATTGCATAACAGTACAATCTGCAGGTAATTTTTTTTTTTTTTCTTTCTACCTTACATCCCGAATTTAGTTATGATCAGTATTATTTGTTTTAATTAATTATTTTTACGTATTTTTTTTATTTTATTTTTTTTTTTTACATAATATCTCTGTCAATCGAATTCTTGAAATATAGCAAATAAATCCTGATCTTACTCGATTATGGTAAAATTAAACGAATTATTACAAATTTGATTAGTTTATCGAATCAGCCAAGCTCATTTGATTTAAACGCATGACACGAAAATTTGTATATATTTACAGCACAAGCGGCACAAATGGAGCGCGTTATCAATTTTTCTTTTTTGACCTTTAATCTAGAAAAATGATTTTTTTTTTGATTTCGCTTTTCATTCCTTTTAATTCATAATTTTTTTTTTTCCACTAAAAATATTGTAAGTGTCAACCTTTCCAATGTTATCAAATCTATTTTTTTCATTTTAAAGGGAAAATTCATTTGTTTTCTTCTTTTAGATTGAATTCTACCAGCGAAACTCAATGCATTATCCTTTAATCGAAAAGGATGTTTTCTCTCGATTAAATATTTTTAGTTGTTTCGTATGTTCCCAATATATATCTAGCTATTGTCGGTAATCGATTATATAAGATATTTATATTTCTTAACAAGATCATATATATAGAAGAATAAATAAGCAGTAAGTGAGTCGATTTTTTTTTCGTCCTAATTCTTGTACATGGAACCTTATTGATGTTTTTGTAACGAACGATTGCATCCTTCAGAATTCACCGTCGACCTAATCATATAGACCGTTATCATAATGCTTATTCTAAATGGCATCTCGATATACCATTACCAATACCAATACATTTTATTTATGAGACATAAACTCTTTTTCTTCATCACCAACTAAAATTCATTCATTTTCGATTTTATTGTATACAAGTGCATTGATACCAAAATACGTTAAAATATTTTTAAGATCCGATCATTATATCAAAAAACATTATTTAAAATTCAAAAAATTTAATAAGCTTAGTTTTTCTTTTATTTTCCATTTTTATTGAATCGAAACGTATAACTTCTATTTATTTCGTTTAATTTTCTCGTCGATATATATTTGAAACTTGCAAATCTTGTAATATGAACTATGATTATTATGTAAAGTACTATTTTTTCTTTTTAACACGCTTTTTAACACGCGCAGAGAGAGTTCCCGTTTTCATCAATATTTTTTTTTTTTATTATTATCATCTTCATTTTTATTTCTTTTAAAAAAATTCGTTAAATAAACATGAACTTTAAATTCCGTTACACGAATAAATTGTTTGGGGTAATTTTTATCGTTGTTAAACTTAATAAGGATATCATAAACTGGCAACCTTTGTTAAATGGCAATTAAAGAAAAAAGAAAAAAAAAAGTAATTTGAAAATCACACGTACTCCTTCTCCGATTGGACATTTGAGATACGATCCTGCAATATGCCGCAGTTATAAAGTAATCATCGAGCCCACGTGTAAAAATTAAATGCCTTCTTTCGTTTTTTTTTTTTCTCTTTCACTTGGAATTAATTATCTTGGGATTTTTTTTTTTTTTTTTTTTTTGAAGGTAATGTATGTATTCATGTGCTTTCCACATTACAACTTGTTAATTATGAAAAAAGTAAATTATTAATTCTGAAATAAATATGCGGATTATTTTTACTCGTTTTAGCGAATATTAGGGAAAATTTCTACCAATAATTTTTATTCCGAATTATAGAGTTTGATTTTAAATTTTTTCTATTATCTTCCATTATGTTATCCTAACTGGACTCGGTAAAGATCAACGCTCAAAAAATATTAATCGATGGGTTCGAAAAAAAAAAAAAAAAAACGATCAGATCTTTTAGCGATGATTAGTTCCAATGAGGGATTCAGAAATAAGGTTTAATCACAATAACATCGTGATTAATAATTGAATGAAACTTAATAAAGTTACGTTTAAGGAAAAAAAAAATTAAATTTTTTTTTTGTAATTAATAACTAGATTGACTAGAAACTTTAAGTAAATCTGTCAAATTCACGTTTTTGGATAATTTAATTGAACGTTCAGGGGAAAAAAATTTTTTTTTTTTTTGATGTTTCATCCTAAAAGGGACATTTTGTTTGTTCCCCGTTGAGTGATACAAAAAAAAAATTGTAATTATGCAACAAATCTTTCCAAATAAGTTACAATCAACTCAATCTAGCAATTTTATGAATTTTAACAATCTCAGCACTTTAACGCGATTTGTATAATTATGCAATTGACAAATCTTCGCGTGTTCATCCTCCTTCAAATTTCTACTTTTAACCCTTCCTAATGTTAATGACGGAAATGAAATGCATTTACTCGTGCGTTCTATTCATGCACGTAGAAAGTGAGTCACATGTCATTTGTTGACATTCCTGCGGATTAATAATACCCATCAAATGACCGGTAACCACAATGCAAACAAAATTTGTGAAAAAAAAAATCTATTTTGTTACATTTGATAATATGCACAAATTTGCTTGGCAGAATCTTACGGTTGCAATTATATGAAAATAAAATAAACAAAAACGCACTGATCAAACGGTACAAAACGATCGGTATTGTACATTCTTCGACGAGTAATTATAAATAAATACGCATGGACCACATTATATACCTGAATTTTAAAAAAAAATCACATGAAATGCCCCTGAATTTACATACTCGTTTTTTTTTTTGGTTGCACGAAATTTAATAAGTAATAATGGCGTAAATTTCTAAATGCTATGTTAAAATCTTTTTTATGATTAGATAGATTAGATATAATTGTGTCACGTAATCTCACAAAAAAAAAAATTTGTTCTCAGGTAACTCAGTGCTGAAATGCATAAGCAATTTTCACACCGATTAAGCCACTTAAGCATATGAACTTTTAATAGAAAAGATCTCAAAAAAGATAACATAAGTACGAATGTTGTTTGTACTATCAAAATCGAGAAAGAATCAGAAACCGACTTTGTAAATTCGAACGTAAATTGTATATTTTGATGCAGTAAAAAAAATCGCGCTCTAAAAAATTAATACGTACTTTATAGTTTCGTCAATGCATACGATTGAATCTACTTATTATGACACGTGTAATTTTATCAAATAATAAACCTATAAATTTCTTTTGCTCGGATAAACATACAATATATACATTTCTTTTGGAATGTTTGACATGCCTTTTCTATGTGTCACATCATATTGTAGATTGTTATAAATTTCGTTTGAAACTCCAACTATTTAATAAGAATTAGATTAATGAGATAACAGGTATCATTTATATCATATAGACATTATAATTCTCTTTTAAGATTCTTGTGCAAATTTGATGATTTATGTATATCTCAACGTTCTTACGCGCGGTTTTACGTTAAGATAATTGGTGATAGATCACACGCGATAGGAATTGGTTTTTTTTTTTAAAAAAAAAATTCACGCTGTATCGTCATTTCGCTATTGCGTATCAATAATATTTTATTTTATTGAAATGGTTGGTGCTGAATCTCAGTAATATGTTTCGAAGTATGACTATGCACAACCAAATAAAAAGTTTGGAAGCACACCATTTGCTAGAAACTAAAGGGTAAATTTTTCATGATGATCATAATTCAACAATAGTGATCGACACATGACGCGCAAACATTGTATTCAAAAGAAATTTTGATAACTTTTTTGGAAAGGTGGAAAAATGATATTCTAATTCAAATGCATTAAAAACGTGATTATCAATAACAAGAAACTTCGAAATAAAACTTCGGATGATCCGAGTTGGACCTGATAATAAATTTACGCGATCGACGAATAATTTATAATTTAAAGACACTTTAGGCAATATTTAAAGGTGGGCAAATAAAAATATCAATATCATGGGGGATCCAATATGTAAATGCTACCCATTATCTTTGATCTGGAAAGATAATCGTTAATTTGTAATCTTTAATTAATCGAATTTCCTAATATAGGTGACACTCAATCTCGATTTAGGTGAAAAAACTTTTTTTCAATTTCCTTAGTTGTTTTTGAAACATATTTAAAAATAATTTACGAATCATCCTCTTAAAAAAAAAAATTTTTAGACATCTGCTCCATGTTAAGTTACCTATTCTAGTATTTGTGGCAATATGTACTATTATCTCTCAAATTAATGGATCAAATTGGTAGCAGAGATGGTGAGAAACCACGAAAACCAGAAGAAAAAACCCCGCCATCACCAAAAGAACCAAAAGAAGAAAAATCCACCGCAAATCACCTGAAGACCGGGCACTTCCCAGATGTCATATTGTGCATTATTACTATGATATGTGATTTACAATCGTAACACTCTACAAATTGAAACAATTGTTCAAAAGAACCACAACGTGGAAATAATTGTCTTCCGCATTTTCAAGTGATAATGGATTAGGATTTCCGGATTTATTAATAGTAAATTGTCTTTAATTGAAATTCTCAATATTATAAATGAAAACGTGAAATATTTTGAGATTCAAAATTTTAACTTTACCCGACTAAACTAAATTGACGAAAATTAAATTTAACATAAGGGTTGAATCAATGGCGAATTATCTCTCCCGTAGAAGGGAGAATTATAATCATTTATTATATCAATAAAAAAAAAAAATGTTTTGCGCTTACACTAAGCATTTTTTATTTATTTACATAAAGATAAATTGAAACATGAAACATAATAATAATATATAACTATGAATAAACATAACAAGAATTGATATTTCCTAATTTCATAATTTTATATATTATTCGGAATTTTTCTTAATTCTACTTTTTCATAATGTATAACTCTCTCAATTTCTTGTGGCCAACTATCCTTGAACAAGAAATTATCCGTAATTTCTTTACCAAAATCCTTATTTTTCTGATCATTTTTTGATCTTGAATTTGAACGGATAGGACTTAATTTTGGACTAGAGAGGCCAGTGTAAGAGAAAGGTTCGTCAAAATAATGAACCGAAGCCGAGATAGAATTAGATTGCGTTAATTCCGTTTTCGTCATAGGATCAGTCGAAATAACAGGAGCTGGTAAAGTGTACGCTTTATTAAACATTTCTCTGTTATATTGATTCCGGTCATAAGATAATCGACGTCTTGATCTTGAAGAAAGTGTATTACTACGTTGTTTTTGGTCTTTCGTATTAGAAATCATATTTGGAAATTATTTTTTTTTTTAAATGGTTTGGGTATTGTATTACAAAAATTTTTTATTTTTTTATCGAATACTTTGGTTATTTATTGTATTTTGGATGGAATGATTTATCATTCGCCGCAGCGGAAATTCACGGTCGTGGAGGAATTTCCTTTTTTAACTAACAAAAAAAGGGAATATCCCGTCAATTTAGGCTGTTATAGGGCGCGAAGAATATTCCGATTTCAATTTGTGGGACCACAATTAGTCAGGTCATATTCATTTTAGCCAATTACATTTGTCGATCAATGATCTCTCCATAACATTTTTTCAACCGAATGTTTAAAAAAGGTTGAATTAATGTGAACTTTCTCGAACAAATCTAACATCAGCTGTTATATGGCTTATCTTTATTACCATAAAGAAATAAAAATTATAACGTTTCTGGTTTGGTAAGCCTTTTGCAAGTTTGCAGAAAGAATCCGGAAAATCGACTCTAATATAAAGATCATGTGATTCTATGAATGTTAGTGCAATCTTTAGCGAAAGAAAAAATCGAAAATTTGCCGTTTACTAAAATTCGTATTTTTTTTGACGATTTTACTTATCTTTTCCTTAGTTTGGTAGTTTTCCCCTTTTATCAAATAATATAATAAATATATTAGCCTTTGATGGCTTTTTACTGTCGTACGAGAAATATTCTGTTTCTATGGTTATTGTTAAACTTCTATTGCTATGCTATTAAAATCACCCCACATTTTTTTTTCTCGTACGAAGGTTCTTTTTCCATGTAATTTTTCGCGATTGTACTGGTGCACCGGTTTGATTTGTTAGCTAAGTTTAGCCTAAAATTTTTAACTTTTGTGGTAATGATTATTGGCGTATCGGCGTGATCCTGTTTAATTTATAAGCAAGGCAATGGCCCTGGTCCCGTTTAAGTTAATGAAATCTCACGACCCACGGATAAAATAAGTAATAGAAATAATAGTAATTATTTAACTCTCTAAATAAAAAAACGCCTATATAAATCCATTAAGAAAAATAAAGAGAATTATAATGTCTATATGATATAAATGATACCTGTTATCTCATTAATCTAATTCTTATTAAATAGTTGGAG